TAAAATTTCAAATTTTCACAAAAAAAAACCGTCAAACTGTTGACGACACTACGATAGTCGACGCGATAGTAAGCAAGCAAAATACATGAATCAGTACTTTGACGATATCGTTTTTTCAATATCGTTTCAACGACTATCGTGTCTAAAGTTACGTGATGCATGCCCAGAACTTTAGCAGTGATTCGTATGAATAAAAATATTTTCCGCCATTTTCCAGGGCAGTTAAAAAAATCGTATAATTTTCGTCACAATTTCGTGTTTCTAGTTCAGCTTTCGTCACTGGAAAATTTTACCTCAAAGATGTGTTTTAGTTGATTTTATGGACTGTTTGCCAAGGTGTGACGTATCGGTTTAGAAAAGCTCTCATAACTGATAAACTATCAGTGCAGATCATGGTCATAGTTTTCGACTTTATAGCAACCAATGCAGCTTGGTATATTATGTATAGCAAGAGACTCGGCAATGAAAGCTTTGCAAAATTCATTTAAATGTTTGTTAATTAGGTTATGCCTTGTTCATTGAATACGGCATAAGCTGTGTTCTCGTTATCCGTTTTTGAACCATCTGTATACATAAGTTCCCTATTATCCTGTTCAGCTATCTGCCTCTTTTAAATGCAAAGAATATAAATAAAATAAATAAAGTCAAAGGACAGCACCTTGAGAAAGTCATTTGAAATAAGGTATGGATGGTCATCGTACTCATAGTACATGTGAAAGCTTTGAAACTTTTATTTATGTGGTTTTGTTATGTATCGAACTATAGTTTCATCAAAATATGTAACATGGGAACCCTAGTTGGTAGATCTCCAAAGTGGTAATTTATGTAATGTAACTGCAGCGATAACAGAGCATCAGAGAACCAGCAGTCAATCAGCCGCGTCGTCGCATAATATGTAGCAGCAAAGAACCAGCAGTCAGTCAGCAGAGTCGCGGTATAACTAGGTAGCAGCAGGGAGTCAAGAGTGAGTTGTTTCTGATAATCGAAGGCAGTCACTCTGCAGAGCGGTTGTTAAAAGGGTCGTCGTGAAGTCCAGTTGTCGTTTGTCTTTATACGTACCATTTACTATTAATTTAAATTCAAACATATATGTCACTCGAACCTAATTATTGTATTTGAACTAACTTAGATATACGATTTTAATATTAACTACACTAAAAAGTGTTACATTTGGGGGCTCAACCGTACACATCTAATACATAAAAAAACCCAACGGTTGCAAACGTCGCTATATTTATGAGCAGAAGTTAATGAGTTCTATTGAACACGAAGAACTGAAGACAGTTACCGATATAACGAATCCGCCTACGACAGAAGGACAATCAAGGTCAAAGTATAACACTAGATCATCGCAGAGAAGTGCAAAAATGCACGAAACGGACAATGAGCAACCGAAAGGTCTAGCGGAGGCCATTGGAAGTCAAATAGGAAGGCAGAGTAAAGAGAAAATTGAGAGTACAGCAGAAAAGCAGAACAGAAAAAGGGCAGAAAAAATAGCGGAAAATAACCAAATGCTTCAGCAGTTAGTTCAATTGTTAACCCTTAAAATACAAGCTGACGAAGTAAGACAAAACAACACGAGAATAGTGGCGGAAGATTTTGCGAAGATTATTCCGGAGTTTGATGGTCATAACATGCCGATAAAGCAATGGTTCAACAATTTCGAAATCAATGCGGCGGCATATGGACTGGACACAAAACAAAAGTATGTCCAAGCACGTGCGAAAATGACCCGCACCGCTAAACTTTTTTTGGAAGGAACATTTGTGTATGAATACGCCGAACTTCGTAAGCTGTTGGAAGAAACCTGAAGACGAGAGTTTCCGTGAGTATATTCTGCAGATGAAGAAAATCGCATCTCTTGGTGTAGTTGATACTGCATCAGTAGTTCGTTACATTGTTGACGGACTAAACTTAAAAACTGATTTTAAGTACAAGCTGTATGGCTGCAAAACCTACAAAGAACTGCAAGAAAGTTATGATGTTTACGAACGTGTTGCTGAAAGCGGAACCGGTGAAAAAGCTGAGAAGCAGAAACAAGCATTTAAGAAAAGTTGGCAAATGCAGGCAAATAACGAAAGAAGGCAGCACTGCTATAATTGTGGATCGGTAGACCATTTACGCAAAGATTGCAAAGTGGGTACAAAATGTTTTCGCTGCAATCAGAGTGGCCATATGTCAAGAAGTTGTCCGAATTCAGCGGCTAATGTCAGAATAGTGCAAAATTCAAAACGCCTGAAGAAGATTAAAATAAACAATGTGGAGGTAAACTGCCTGGTTGGCACGGGCGCAGACGTCTCGATCCTAAGACGACATAATTGCAGCAAAATGAACATAAGCGGCGTACATGGCAGCGCCTCCAACCTACGAGGTTTTGGGTAATAAACTTATTCGACCTGTTGGCTGTTTTGTAGCAGACGTTGATGTTGATGGTATGCAGACGTTACACAAATTTGTTGTGGTGGCCGACAGAGACATTGAGTACGACGCATTATTGGGTTACGACTTTATTAGCAAATTTAATTTCACATCGACGTTGGGCGGATATAAGTTTTTGCCCCTGCTGGGGGAAGAAACTTTCGACAACACAAATCAGCTAAGTATATATAATGTAGTAGAAACATATAATGATTTTGATGTACCCCTACAGTACAAGCAAGATGTGCGCCTAATGATTGAGAGCTACCAACCGGCCGAAGTTACTGCCGAGTGCCCAGTAAAATTAAAGATAATACCCGACGGAAACATTGTACCATTTCGACATTCGCCAAGTCGCCNAGAGAGCTACAAACCGGCCGAAGTTACTGCCGAGTGCCCAGTAAAATTAAAGATAATACCCGACGGAAACATTGTACCATTTCGACTTTCGAAGAATTTTTCCACGTCCCAATTGAGGAAAGTAGCCGCAAATTTACCGCTTTTATTACGAAGGATGGACTTTTTGAGTTCAATCGCGCTCCGTTCGGGTTCTGCAACTCACCCGCCGTTTTCATACGTTTCATAAACCATGTGTTTCAAGGTCTCATGAACGAGGATATCCTGGATTTGTACATGGATGATATTATCATTCATGGAGTGACGGCGGACGAATGTCTTGCGAAGATGCGAAAAGTTTTCGACACAGCGGCAGCTAACGGCCTGAAAATAAAATGGAAGAAATGCCACTTTCNATCAAGGTCTCATGAACGAGGATATCCTGTATTTGTACATGGATGATATTATCATTCATGGAGTGACGGCGGACGAATGTCTTGCGAAGATGCGAAAAGTTTTCGACATAGCGGCAGCTAACGGCCTGAAAATAAAATGGAAGAAATGCCACTTTCTGCAGACGAAGATTCACTTCTTGGGCCACACGATTGAAAATGGTAAAATATGGCCTGGCAAGGAGAAAACAAGTGCCGTCAGCAAATTTCCAGTTCCTCGAAATGTTAAAGCCGTGCAGTCTTTCTTGGGACTGACGGGGTTTTTTCGCAAGTTTGTGAACGACTACGCCCATATTTCCCGACCATTGACAAAGCTGCTGCGCAAAGACACAGATTTTCAAATGGGCGTAGCTGAATGCATTTCAGCGGTTGAAAGATGTCTTAGTTCGAGAACCTGTGCTGAAAATATACGACAGATACGCTAATACTGAATTGCACACAGATGCGTCAAAAGACGGATTTGGTGCAGCACTACTCCAATGGCAAGAGGGACAGCTCCATCCGTGCAGCGATAACAGAGCATCAGAGAACCAGCAGTCAAACAGCCGCGTCGTCGTATAATATGTAGCAGCAGAGAACCAGCAGTCAGTCAGCAGATTCGCGGTATAACTAGTCAGCAGTGAGTTGTTTCTGATAATCGAAGGCAGAAGGTCCAGTTGTCGTTTGTCTTTATACGTACCATTTACTATTAATTTAAATTCAAACATATATTTAACTCGAACCTAATTATTGTATTTGAACTAACTTAAATATACGATTTTAATATTAACTACACTAAAAAGTGTTACATATATGTAACTCCGGCTACGCCATCCACTGTATCTTTGCGCAGAACGCACATCGAAATTTACAAAAAGAGTGCATGGTTCAAACCGAATTTATTAATAAACCAGAGCTCGGAACCTTTTTTTTAAATTAAAGTTTAATCCTTTGACTACACGTGTATGTTAAAGTTTTACGATTCGGGTGATGCGTGTGTATACAAAAACACAAAATCATTGTACAAATAACAAAACCGTACCCAAGGTTCTCGATAAGGGGCATTAAACATTCTTTTTTGTTCGTTCATATAAAGCAGTGGATAAAAATATACGTATATGCGAAAGGCAAATTTATCTGTTAACAAGAACGCCACCAATATTTCTTGCAAACTTATCGATTTACATCCTTTTGCTTATATTTTATCTCGCGTCACACTGAATTGTTTTCGTACAAAATTACGCAAAAAAACTCTCAATTTCTTACTCGTTCGTTTTTAGGCATGCCATTGTTACGAATTTCGAAAGTTCGATTCGTAGCAAATACGAAAGTGTTGCAGAATAGGGGTGTATAATTTGGAATTTATGCCCTATTATTTTGACCATAAGTAATAATAATAATAGATTGGCGCTTACACATATGTTAGTGTTTGGCCGAGCTTCTCCTCCGATTTGTGGCGTGCGCCTTGATGTTGTCACACAAAGAGGTCTACAGTTTTATGCCGACTCCGAACGGCAATTGTATTTTTATGAGAAGCTGTTTTTCATGGCAGAAATATACTCGGAGGTTTGCCATTGCCTGCCGAGGGGCGACCGCTGTTAAACAACTTTTTCCTATATTTTTTTGCGATGTTGCTTGGACCAGGGCTTGAGCCCAGGCCCTGCGGAGTGGTAGCGCGCACTGCTAACCACTACACCAGAGCGACCATAAGTGTATGAGCTATATATAAATGTACCTAAAATGTATATAAATAAACATTTTTAACGATTTCACCACCAAACACCTTGTTATATTAATAGCAATTTTTTCTTTTAGGCGAAAATAAAGAGTCCACAGACTTTGGTAAGCAGTTTCTGGAACGCCGCAGTAGATACAAAAATTTACAACGTGCACAAAATGCTCACAATGACGATATGTGTAAGCCAGCACCAGCCATAACACCTTCTGGCAATGATAATTTCGACAATAAGGTAAAGTTTAGTTAAGTTTACGTGTTAGTATTTATTGAAAATCATGAGAAAATACCGTTTAGTCTACCAAATTTTATATTTATCAAACTAGAAGCGCTCAAGAATTTTTCGATATGGAGTTCTTACTTAGGCAAATCTTAACGTTGGAAAACGCAAATTTTTAAATAGAACACAAAAAAATAAATTATACATCAAATTGTTTGAAATCCATTGGGGAAACAATAAATTCTTATATGATTCATTTTTCTTAAGTGCTTAAAGAGTTATAAGTAACAAATATTCGAAAACTCAAAGTTAGCGATAGTTCTACAAAGCGAGGCTTTTGTCCGATTTAAATTCAAAACATTGTTTAAGAAGGTAGGACGGGCGCAATGTGTGTATCAAATTTGGTACAGATTGGTGAAGTGGTTTTCGAGATACACATACTTGACATAAGTGGGCTTGCCACGCCCGATTTCCAAAAAAGTTCACGAAAAAATAATTTTTTCTTAAGATCCATTGAAAATACTATTTTTGAGTAAATATTTGAAAATTACCACACTTCCAAAGATCTGAAGTCCATTGGATACACACATGGCCGTATTTTAGACAAGAATTTTTTTACGTAGTTAGCATATTCAACTAACTAAATTAAGAATGTTATCTATAGATCACACATAATTCCAACGTATTATGTTTTATAGGTCGATTATCGATAGCAACCCAACTTCAGTTGCGTTGCCAGTTGGCGAAACCAGAGTACGAAAACAAACCGAACGTATCACTACCACGGTCTTGTAGTAAATTGTTCCTGAGCGGTTCAGTTCTGCAGCTCTTATTATCTTCTCCAACATCAGATTAAAGAAGTCACATGAAAGGGAGTCGCCCTGTCTGAAACCCCGTTTTGTGGCGAACGGCTCCGAGAGGTCTTTCCCAATTCTGACGGAGCTGGTGGTATTGCTTAACGTCATTTTACACAGCCGTATGAGTTTTGAGACATAGCGGCAACTCCTTTTAGTGCTGTCAAAGGCGGCTTTACATTCGACAAGCAGGTGGTGAGTGTCGATCCTTTTCTCGCGGGTTTTTCCAGGATTTAGCGTACTGTGAATACCTGGTCTATGGTGGATTTGCCAGGTCTAAAGCCACACTGATAAGGCCCAATCAGTTCATTGACGGTGGGCTTCAGTCTTTCACACAATACGCTCGATAAGACCTTGTAACCTATGCTTAGAAGGCTGATCCCGCGGTAGTTGGCGCGAATGGCGGGGTCACCTTTCTTGTGGATTGGGCAGAGCACACTTAAATTCCAGTCGTCGGGCATGCGTTCATCTGACCATATTCTGCCCAAGAGTTGATGCATGCACCTTATCAACTCCTCGCCGCCGTACCTGAATAGCTGAGCTGGCAGGCTGTCAGCTCCAGCGGCTTTGTTGTTTTTCAGCCGCGTTATTGCTATACGTACCTCGTCATCATCGACTGCGGGCTCGGGTTCTTCTTCTCCACAACTTTCCGTGCTGTTACCATTTAGCAGGACGGAAAAGTGTTTCCCTCCATACTTTAAGTACGCTCTGGACATCAGTTAATAGATCGCCATTATTGTTCTTACAGGAGTACGCCCCGGTCTTCCGTAAGTCGCCTAACTCTCTGGTAAAATTTTCGGGCATTCTTCCTGTCGGCCAGCATTTCAAGCTCTTCGCACTCACGTATTTCGGCCTCTCTCTTCTTATTGCGGCAAATACGTCTCGCTTCCCTCTTCAGATCCTTATAGCGGTCCCACATAGCCCGCGTTGCGCCCGATCGCAGCGTGGCCCTGTAGGCGGCATCTTTGTTCAGTTGTTCTTTCGGGCTCGCTGAAATCCAACTACTTCTTCGGCGGCGGTACTTAATGAGCGGGAAATGTGGTTCCACTGCTCGCATATGTCGGTTTGTTGAAGAGTGCTCTCTGAGAGCAGGTGTGAGAGTCGAGTAGCGAAAGCGCTGGCTGTCTGTTGTGATTGCAGCTTTTCGACGTTAAGCTTTCCTTGCATATTTGGGCGCACTTTTTGTGCTGTACAGAGGCGGGTGCGTATCTTGGCTGCAACAAGATAGTGGTCCGAGTCGATGTTTGGGCCTCGGAGTGTGCGTACGTCTAAAACACTGGAAGCGTGCCTTCCGTCTATCACAACATGATCGATTTGGTTTCTCGTTTTTCGATCCGGAGACACCCTGACATTGAAGTCGCCAAGCACGATTTTGATATCATGACGGGGGTAGCGCTCGTACGTGCGCTCCAAGCGCTCATAGAAGAGATCCGTGGATTCCTCATCCTTGTCTTCCGTCGGGGCATGGGCGCAGATGAGCGAGATGTTGAAGAATCTCGCCATGATGTGGATTGTGGCTAGACGCTCGTCCACCGGGGTGAACGACAGTACTCGGCGACGGAGTCTCTCTCCCACCACAAATCCAACTCCGAATTTGCGCCCCTTTACATGGCAGCTGTAGTAGACGTCGCAAGGCCCCAGACATTGCTTGCCTTGCCCCGTCCAACGCATTTCTTGGATGGCGGTGATGTCAGCATTTGGCCTTACGAGGACATCAACCACCGGGCAGAGGCACCTTCCCTATTAAGGGTCCGGACATTCCAGGTGCATGCCCTCAAATCGTAGGCCTTTAAACGTTTGCCGTGGTCGTCATCATAAGGGGGGTCTCATCCGAGGCTTTGCCTTGCTTCTTCACTGGAAGCGGTTTTTACGTGGCGGGTCCCAAACCCAACGCACAACCCATTGCTGGGACGGGGGTGGTTTCGCAACCAAATACACGTTTATATAGCGAGCCGCTTGCTCCAAGCAGACACCCGCTTGCAGCCGCAACTACTGGTGAACAGACGCTGCAGACTTCAGTGAGTCCTTAAACCGAATAAGTCGGAGTGGCCCCACCGAAGCTCCCTCTCTTTCTGTCTTGACCCAAGGCTCCACTCTGATTGGTTACCGCATCTCGCACATAGGTTGCTCACGTTGCCCAGAGTGCGCGAACGAGGACGCAAGAGTCGGGATTGAGTATAGCCCTGCAACTGTAACTGCATACCCAGCTCAACGACTATACCCCATTGCACTCCAACAGTTTATTTAATAGCTTACTTATTCAGTTAGTTTAACAAAGAAAAATACGGTTGATGTAAAAAATTAGCTGCATAGTTTGTTTTGAAATTAGACAAATTGCGAACAGCGAGCGCGTGGCCGAAGAGTAATTTTGCGACTGATGTAGCAGACTACCGATGGACTTCGACATCAGTGCCATGTTGACACAGATGGAATGGAACGGAATGCTAACAAATTTTTTCTCAAATGTTTCTCAAACCGTTCTTAAATTGATAAACAATGTTTGAGAAAAATTTGAGAAAATGTTTAGTTTCAAATGATAAACAAGGCTGAAAATCAAATTGAGAAATAAGATTTTCTCAAACGTTTGAAAATTTTTGTTCCAGTGTTTGTTGGGTTTTTGATTTACATATATGGTGGATTTCATCGAATGAAATCCCCACGTCGTTTTATGAAAAAAAATATTACTCACGACTTTCTCCATTTCAGTGAGGATCTTTTTGTGTCTTTTTGCATTTCAGGTACATTATGATAATCGCTCATTTCCTAGAAAAGTGTCATAATAAAAAAAGCCAAAAATCGAGTTAAGTACGCCAAAATGCACGTTACCTATTTCTTATAATGTGTAAAAATTTCATAGCTGTAACGATTATCAGTAGTCATTAGAACAAAATATGTATTAACTTTTCCCCTGGGAGTATATGTAAGTTCCAAACTTTAATGCCGCTTTTCTTGAGTTTTTACTAATAAAAAATTCATTTTGATTCACCCACGTCAATATTGAAATTCATGTCCATCAAAATTTTCCATATCATCGTGAAATTATTAAATACTAGCTTTTACCCGCGGGTTTCACACCACGTCTTTATACAAATATGAAAAATACTTTATGTCAAGATGTTATATTTTATTTTTGCTCTAATTTTACTATAGCCGTGATAGAAGAATATGGTAGGACAGTTGTATAGCTTGGGTTTTTTGGAATGAAATGCAATACAATTTTTTTGGCACAGCAGGTGTTTTTATTTATTTTAAAATATTTCAAAAGAAGAAATACCAATGTTGTACTAAATACCTAAATTGTAACTATCTAATTTCTTACAAATAATAACTCTAATATTATTTCACAGCATGTTTTCATTATTTTTCATATATATATATATATATATATAATTTTTCATTTTCCAATGCAGTCATCATACATTTTATTTTTGATAAAGTTTTGGAATATGCTTTAGGGCATTCTTGTTTATTGTCATTGCAAAAGCTAAGCGAACAGGAAAATGAAGTATTTTAAATTGGAAAGGCATATCAAAAGGAAATAAAGGGGTTATGTGACTTGTGGTTCCGAAGTTATGGCTGATAAAAAATCCCACGCCTATATTATGTGCCACGCCCCCATTTACAAACTCATTTATACATACCTTACTATAAGCACCTACCATAGATATATCTGCATACCAAATTTCAAGTTCATGGGACTTATGGTTCCGAAGTTGCAGGCCTATGGGAGGTGCCACAACCCCTAGCAAAATTGACCCTTTTTGCAAATAAAACCATACCTATAACCCTCCCGGAGTAAAAAAATACGTGTGCAAAGTTTCATGCGATTCCGTGACGTGGTTCAAAAGTCATAAGGTAATAAACAAACAGGCATTCACATTTATATATGTATATAGATGTCTTTTAACCGTAGACCTACGGAAAAAAAAACTTCAAAATTCTACGTTGGGGGTCGTTTTCGACCCAAATATATTTTATGTTGATATAATGAATTAAAGTAAATATTTAAAGGATCATAAGCTTAATTTTACACATTCTTACGATTATCAAGACATTCAATGCAAATATTTCTGTTATGAATACGTTTACAAAAATTTTTTTTACACATGACACATGTCAATTCCGTCTTATTTTCGGAATGATGTTTCTTTTTCTGACACA